ATACTGCTTCTGTGTCCTGAATTTACCAGCCTGTGAGGTCACGTAGGCTTTTGATGCCCAAATTAGAGTGGCTCGACTCTTAACAGTTTGAATGCAATATTTCAGCACTACCAGCTTTGCAGAGTGCCCTCTGAATTTTTCTGGGGGGTCCCTAAAAGGGGTGTACTCACTAACTAGTCTATCTGCTGGTTACCACAAAGCATTTGCTGTGTTCTTCCTCTTATGCTGAGACCCTCCAGCTGATGCGTATTGCCCTGAATGCTGTTTGAAGATGCTCATGGTATCCCTCATAAGACAGGTGTTGTATATGCCAAGGGCGTCTTTTCCTGATGTGGCCATTTCTAAGAACACCAGGGGTGCTAGGCTTGATGGGAAGTAATGAGATCGACCCTTTCCCCAATTCTACACCACTTTCCCACTCCTCCTCCTCCATTGCTCAAAGTCCAGAGCTCACAGTCTCTTTCAGCTTCTCCTTTTTGTAGTTTCCTACTTACATACCTGCCCATGGCCCTCCTGTCCAAACCAGTAGCAATTAACAGCTGCCAAGCACGCATTTTGGCAGGGATAACACAAAAGCTCAAAGGCTCAGAAACACAGCTCAGCCACATCATTTATTACCAAACCAGAATGCTTAACATTGATATTCTAGTGAGCTTTTCAAGCTAGAGAAACAGTCAGCTTTAAGTGAGATGAAGTGTCCATTCTGGAGATAGAACACTACTTGCAGCCTTCAAATAATAGACCTCTTTTTCTCTGCTAAACAAGATTTAAATGCCTTAGACTCTACTCTCAATTCCGAGTACCATATTGCCAATCTTTAAATACATCTGTCCATATTCTTTCAGAAAACCCATAAGATTTTTTACCTTGGGAAAATTTGAAAACCTTCTATAGACATCTGTAAGTGATAAAAACAGAATTGAAATACCAAGAATTTCAGACTTTTCACTAATGCAGACTGGCCTTTGCTCTAAATATTAATTTGCTGAATTAGCATTTTACAAGGATACTTCAAAGTGGAGATGCCACCAACAGGGAGAGCAGCTAGCAGACTGCAACAGAGGAAAGACTTTTTCTTGTGAGGTTTAAAGCATTACTGTGCAGGTCTTTTTGGTCAAATAAGAGAATGGTTTTCAAAACAAAGGCTGTGTTACTCCAGAAAAAAAATTGGTACCTAAGTGGTACCTAAGACCCTTCATCATCTTACCCTGCCTCCCTGGCCAGTGCCATTCTTCCCTCTTTGATGTTCCAGTTTTCTTCATTTAGTATATGAGGACAGTTTGATTCAGAATTTACATAATCAGTAAGAGATAGAGGCAGGATTTTAAGCCAGGTCAATTTGACTTCAAAACTAGTGGCTCTTTCCTGCTTATCTCATTATGATGTGTCACGTTGAATGGGTACAGAGGTGACCCTAAGGAAGAGGAGCTTATCTGGGGAACTCACCAGCTTTGTGGATTATCTGGGATTTCCCTGGCATGCGTACGTAATGGTTCCCTGGTGATGCATGGTCTACATTGAAGGAATTTCTGGGTAGGATCCCCTGTGTAAGCAAACCTCATCTCAAACCTCACCATCCTCCTCTTTTCTTCTAGTACCTTTTCTTCCATCCCTTTTTTAGAGAAACCAAGTAACTGGTTGCTGATCCTACACTCTGCTCCCCGTAAGTCATCCAAGAGGCAGACCTAGCTTACCTTTCCGATGACATCTGTTAATAGCTTGAGGGCCACAGGGTCATGAACCAAGGAGTCCGTGTAAAAGGAACCAAGGTATTTCTTTGGGTTGGTTGGATTGTCCTGGGCACACAGATCTGGACGCATGTTGAATCCATGAGAGATTCTTCCTACTGTGAAGGGGAAGGAACCACCTACAAGTAAAACCCATTACTGAGGAGCTAGTGTTCGTTGAAAAGAATTCTTTTCATTCCTCATGTTGTATGCAAAGAGAAGTTACTATATCCCATCTAAGTTAACTGTATTTACAAAGGACCTACTGGGTTCTAAATGCTGAGAGATGACCTAGAATAAAGGATTTTAACTCATCTAGAAATTCAGATTTAAGGAATTTATCCTAAAGAGAGAAGACAAGTGCCTAAAGATATGTGGTCAAGGTTTTCAAATGTAGTGTGGTTATAATAGAAAAATATAGAGGCAGCCTATCAGTTTGGGAATATCAAAATAATGATGTCTTATCCGTAAAATGTATTGCCATGCAAACGACCATCAAAAAGGATGAAAGGATGAAGCTCTGTACTCACTGACGTGGAAAGATGTCTCCATATGCTATTGAGAAGGAAAAGCAGATTAGAGAACAGCATGTATTGTTTGATATTGTGTGTCTGTGTCCAAGAATTACAACTCAGTTACCTACAGAGACCAAGCAGGAAATGTAAATGAATGAAACAGGGCTTATTTGTAAACAGTAGTGAAAGTTAAGGACTATTGCTAACAGGAGAACTTGTGGTTGTACAAGAGAGATTTAAATTTAAAAGCAAAATCAAGTAAACTGTGCCAACCCAACTACACTTTTCTGCAAAAATGGAATTTGGTCCTTGAACCATCATGTACTTTATAACTAGAATAATGACTAGAAGGACCAAATTGTGTCTCTCCAAAATTCATATGTTGAAGCCTTAACCCCCAAATGGACCATATTTGTAGATAAAACTTTTAAGGAGATAATTAAGGTTAAATGAGATATTAAGGTGGGACCCTAATCCAATAGGACTGGTGTTCTCATAAGAAGAGGAAGAGATGCCCAAACTCTCCCTCTCTCTTCCTGTGGACATATAAAAGAAAAGACCATATGATAGAAAACAAACTTAAGGTTACCAGGGGGAAAAGAGGACTGGGGAAGGATCAATTGGGAGTTCGGGATTTGCAGATACACACTACTATATATAAAACAGGTAAACTGCAAGGTCCTACTGTATGGCACAAAGAAGTGTGTTCAGTGCCTGGTAATAGCCTGAAAGAGAATAGGGAAAGAAATATATGTATAACCAAATCAGTATGCTGTACACCAGAAATTAACACAACCTTGTTTATGGACTATACTTCAATTAAAAAAAGAAAAGAAAAGAAAAGAAAAAGCCATGTGAGGATACAGTACGGTGGCCTTCTACAATCCAGAAAGAGAGACCTCACCAAAAACCAACCCTGCTGGCGCCTTGATCTTGGAACTCAGAAACTGTGAGAAAATTAATTTCTGCCATTTAAGCCGCCCAGTCTGTGGTGGTATTTTGCCATGGCAGCCCAAGCTCACTAGTACAGATGGGGTTCTTACCTCCATGTGCAAAACATACTTTGAGTTTAGGAAACTTCTCAAACACTCCACCCATGATCATGGAGCAAATGGCTGTGGTGGTTTCTGTTGGCATTCCTGAAAGAGGAAACTGTTGTGAGGTGCAGGGCTTGTCACCACGAACAAGAAGTTCAGTGATGCTAATGATGGCGGAGGGATGGATCTTGCTGTACTTGTCAGTGCTGAGAAACGTGGTGGGGATGGGTGTGTTCCCTGTCCCCCAGCACAGCTTGGCTGTGTGCAAACCATTACTTTGGCAAACAGAAACCTCCTGTTTGCCACTTGCAAGTCTGATGGCTAGAACAGTCAAGAAGCCAGAGGGCCTGGCTGTTGTCCTGATCCTCCCAGCTTCCGTTTTGGATGCAGCGAGTCTAGGCTGAACCCTTACTCCTTCAAGTTTTTGCTTCTTGGCCTCTGACAAGTTAATAATGCCCCTGGGCCTATGCTTCTTCCCCTGCGAAACGGGGATAGTGTTACCCGTCGTGCAAGGCTCTTGTGGACCCTAGCAAATGATGACACTGGGAAAGTTCTTGGCCAGAACTTCACCTTGGAGGAGCTCAACAAATATTGGCTGCCTCCCTTTGCTTCCATTTCCTCATCTGTAAAGTGGGGGTGATCATGGTTAGTTCTTGCCACTTAGGAAGTGCTTGATAAATATTAATAAATATTAAGACTCCTACCAAATCCCTGCTGCTTCTTAGAGCTGAGGTTGAAAATACTGGATTAAAAATGAATTATTTCAAGTGCTTTGTGCTTCTAGAAGATGCAGCTGGTCGTGCCCGATGTCTTCACCTCTGTGGAGTCAGTCTGGGCTCTATTTCCAGACTACTGCTTTTTAGACTGTGATTAAGAAATCCTGGTGGGTCCATAGCTGAACTCTGTGCCTTCTGGGAAAGCTTGACTCCCTGGCTGCTGAGAGGGGCTCTAGTGGATGCTCATGCTGCCTTAGGCCTGTCTCTGCTCTGTGGACAGAGATGCCCCTGGGTCGCTGGTTCCTTGACCTCTTGGGAATTCTGGAAGCATGATGGATTCATAGCCATCTGGGAGTGGTTTATGGGCAGAGCTTCCCAAAGGCAGGGGGATGGACTGCACCACTTCCTTTTGGTACTGTGATTCTGCTTTCCCTTAACTACTTGCACTATAACCTCATAATCACTGTCTACATGGGGGCCAAAGTAGAATATTTATAATGTCAGTTGGATCGTGACCCTCCCCTGCTGGGACTCTTCCAATCTGCTAATGACCACCTTTGCATCCAGCATAAAACTGTGAAATTAGCCTATTTGTTTGTGATCTGTGTACTTGCATATCATCTCTCTCCTCTAACCAGGACTCAGGCTTCAGCAGGGCAGAGGATTTGTCCATATCTGGTACATCCTCAGTGTCTGACACAGCCTGGCGTGCTGGAGGGGACCAGTAAATGCATGCTGTATAAATGAGTGATGAAATGACCCTTTATGCAGATGCTCTCCTCTGTTTCTCATGTGGGAATTTGCAAGTTAGTGGGGCCTGTCAAAGTGTCCTGTAAATTAGGATGAGATGTTCTTTGATGCTGGACAGCATTGGGGCTTCTTAGCTTATCCCTTTCTTCTTAAGAATTTAGTGCGGGATAGGTAGGAAGCTGCCTTACTCCAGGAGCAATAGCAGGGGCGTAAAATGTCAGAGCAGACAGAGAATCAGGACCAGCTCTCTCATTTTACAGTTGAGGAACTGGGGTGTGAAGTGACTTGCCACAGGTTGTGCAGTGAAACAGAGACTAGCTGGAACTGAAATTCAGTTTTTTGACTTTCAATGTATTGCTCTATTTAATTTTTCACGGCAGTTACTTTTGTAGTTATTTGCACTACTTGGGCTGAGGACAGAATGGATAATGGCCTCTGTAAAGAAAATCCAGCACTGTTTGTGGGGACCCACTTTCCTTGGGTTGTAGAGGAGCTGCACTTTTCCCTGGCGGGCTGAGAATTTTACATCTGTCTCCACATCATCTTTGTATCAGGGATGGTAATGAGAGCTTGGAGAGGCCCAGTGGAAGTTTCTCCTCTTACCCCTTCCCTTACACTCAGGTGAAACCAGGATTGAACAGAGCAGGTAGCCAAGAGTAGAGGGGGGAGCAGGTAATAGGGAAGTTGAAAGCCTGGTCACCTGTAATCTAGGGCCTCAGATCCTCTGGTAGTGAAAGTTGATCTTCTGCTGGTAACTCCAGCGTTCTCATTTGGTAGAGCTGATGCTGTCACTGGCTTCAAAAAAATCTATTCGACAGGTATGGTTGCTTCTTTCTAGAGCCTTTTTGGGATCTGTATAGTGAGGTGCTTTGGAGTCAGATCTGTGTAAACTCCATTTTCACTTTTTAACAGTATGACTTGTACAACTCACTTAACCACCTAGAGACTCGGTTTCTCCATCAATTAAATGGCTGTTATAATGTCAACCTCATAAACTTTTTTGTGGATAAGATTAAAATTAAATGAGGTAATATATACAACACCTACCTGAGTAAGAGCTCAATAACTCATAGTCCTGTTAATTATTTATATTCTCTCTTTGACTTAATAGGGTTCCATAGAAAATTGGAAAAAAGAAAAAACCCCAAAGACTTGATTCTGTTTTCCAGATCCCAAGCTGACACAAACCTATGAGCCAAGGGAACCAGTATTTGGCCATCCGTCCATCCATCTGCATATCCCAGGGGTGCACAAATAGGGAACAGTTCAGCTTTTCTGCCTCCTTCAAAGAAACAGTGAGAGAGAGAGGGTTACTTGGATAAGCCAGCATCTATAGGGTACTGTTTTAGGGAAATTGCTTTCCTTCGGTCTATGTTGATCTGAATAAATAAATTATTTTTGAAGGTTCTTTTTCTGACCTGTATAAAAGAGTCATTGATAAACTCTGCTCCTGCTTAGAAACTAAAATGGGCACTTAGAATTAACAAGGGTGTTGATGGATTTATCCTTGAGGTTGATGGATTTAATATATTGTTTGGCGGAAGAAGTTTGGCCGAAGAAGTTGCAGGAAACATCTACTGTTTAAATGCTTTGGCTGAGAGCAAAACACTCGAACACTGATCCCATACCTCAGATGCAGAGGAAATTTCCCCTACCGGTTTCTATTTGGTCCACTCTTTCAGAAGGACTGCTCAGATTGTATTGTTGAAGTCAGAGCTGGAGCGTTCCCTCCTCTCTCTCCACTTGGAAACCTGACGGTGTAGAAAGTGAGGAAGTGATTGGGTGGGAGCCAGGGCCTCATGATTGGGCTGGAGCAGGCTGGCCTGACCTATGCTATTTGGCCACACTGAGCCCAACACTGGGTAGGAATTTCTGGGACCTCCAGGCACTCTCAAAGCCTCAGGACTACAGCTGAGCCCCTGAAA